TGCTGCTGCCCTCCTCTCTCTCCCTCTCTCTCCTCTTCCTCCTCTCTTTCTCTCCCCCTCCCATTGTTGCGAATCAAGCGTGGTCAAAGGGGCGCGGCGGAGGCGACTCAACGATTCAGCAGAAGAAGAAACAGATTGAGGCTCAAACACACACACACACGCGCGCGCACACACACACACACACGCGCACACACAGACATGGTGATGGTGATGCACACTGATCAGGATGTGGTGACAGCTCAGGGGATTTATCAGATGTAAAAGTGTTTTTTGTGTGTGTTGCTTCCTCCTTTGTCTTAATTCCATTAGCCTACAATTAAACAATAACTAAGGCTTGGAAATTATTCAAATGTAACCTTCGCCAAAGTGTTTCAAATGATAAACCTGCTCACCGGGAGCCTCTCATTAGGCGGTGGCAGCCTGCCTGGAGAGATGTACTTTGGAGCCGTTTGCCCCGAACATGACCGCGTTGCACGTTAGGCTAATTAACTTTTCAAAATTACAGATGGTCCTGCATTTAAATACGGGGCGGAATGATCGACATTTTCCGTTATTAATTCCCCCCCACCCCCCGCTACAAAATTATCATTATGCATAAAATTAGGCCCCTTCGAGGTCCTTTCTTTTAGCTTTTATTTGAAAAAAAATGTTCTTCTCCATCAGTGGTGCATAATGGGAGCTGATGGACAGACGGTAAGTGCATTACTGCCTGAGTAAAGGAAGTGCCCATTCAAGAGCACAATCTGTGTGTGTGTGTGTGTGTGTGTGTGTGTGTGTGTGTGTGTGTGTGTGTGTGTGTGTGTGTGTGTGTGTGTGTGTGTGTGTGTGTGTGTGTGTGTGTGTGTGTGTGTGGTGTGGCCCACTGTGAGCATTGCAGCTCCCTGACAGCAACTTCTCAGTGACTGGCTCTATATCCATCCTAATCCAATCCCATGGGATTTCCACAGCAAGAGGACTGGCGGCTTCAGCGGGATCTCTGCTTTCCAAATCTCCCCAAACCTCGCCTTATCCGCCCGGGGATTACACAGCTCAGCTCCCTGTAGCAGTGGAAGTAGGGGTAGTATACTCCAACAGTGGGAGTAGTGGTGGTGGCAGTGTGGAAGTAGTGTTGCTCCATCATTGCATAAGAGCTCAGTATAGCTGACGAGGTGGGCATATTGTGGGACTGCGCCACCATTCATCATGGTTTTATTATTTGTCAAACTGTATCAGGATGCAGGGTTTTACTGGGCTGACACTGAGGGCGATTTTACTTTATATCAGGGATGTCAAACTCAAGGCCCGGGGGCCAAATCCGGCCCGTGACTTTTTTTCTGTGGCCCCACAAGAGCTTGAAAAGAATATAATATGTTTATTATATGGTTACATGATGATTTAATGAAGCACGTTGCCCATAAACTATATGTCCCACAATGCATCTCAAATTAGACTTTTTTCTCAGAATTTGACTTTTTAAATGTCACTTCCTTTTTTTTTTTTTAAATGTCACTTCTGTTTTTGACTTTTTTTCCAGCTTTTCTTTTTAAATCATTTTGTGACATTCTCACTGAAGAGACTTGCAATTATTTGCCCTTGACTTCTGCTTTCAGACGTAGCTAATTATGAAGTTATTACCCTATCCAATAATAATCCAATGCAGAGGCAATAATGTAATATAATACATTATTTTATATATATATTTATATATAAGTTACAACCGGCCCTTTGAGTGCAGCCATAATGCTGATGTGGCCCGCGATTAAATTGAGTTTGACACCCCTGCTTTATATCTTAGAAGGACCAGGCGGAAAGAGTACACACACACACACACACACACACACACACACACACACACACACACACACACACACACACACACACACACACACACACACACACACACACACACACACACACACACACACACACACACACACACACCGTATCTGACCATCTATCACTATCGCAGGCTGAATTGCATAATATTGCCGCATGCAGCCTGTCAATCTCTCAATGGTTCGATTTTTCATCACACGTTGTACAGTATATATGCACACTGTGGACAAACTTGCATGAGGTAATTGTATGTAGAGTTGTTCTGATACCAGTATCGGAAATGCCTCTAAAAGAGCCTAAAAAACTTGGTCCGTAATCTGCAAGTACGTGAGTCTACGTGCAAAAACGATACCACGTTATCGCTATACTGGAACAATTTGTAGCCGGATTATCGCTACATCACGAGATCATGCAATAATTATGTGATCAAATACCACAAGAAAAAACATATTGTCAGTCCTCAAGTCATGACGTCAGCCATTGACGGAAATGCTTAAAGAAAGAGCTGAAAGAACTTGATCCGGTATCGGCTAGTACGTGAGTCAACGCGCCAAACCACGTTATCGCTATACTGTAACGAACTTACATGGTAGCCGGATTCTCACGACATCAGGAGATCTTGCAAGAATTGTGTGATCACATATCTCGCAAAAATACATCTTGTAAGGCCTCAAGTCACAAAGTCAGCCGTTGTTCGGACCAATCAGCATCCTCCACACTTGTGAAAAATGACAGGTAGCTACGGGAGGGTGTGCGGTACACGTAGAAACGACGTTCATTCAAAACAGCAATGGCGACTCCTAAGAGGGTTAACGTAGATGCTAGTATTAACTAGAACAGCACAATACTTGTTCATGAAAGAAAAGCAAAGGACGTTTTTATCGATGGAAATTTGTTTTCGATCTTCCCCCGTCTGGTTTCGATAAAAGTTTGACTGACAGATGGTTCGTCCAATAACCTGCCAATTATTTTTTTGTAAAGTCCCTGTCCTTTTCCAAACTGTTTCCAATTAAGGCTTCTCAAGTGGTTTCGTGTAAACCACCAACCATCTGGTTACTTTGCATACATGTGCAACTGTAGGAAAAAAGAGGAATTGCTCGCACACTCGGCAGCAAGCAAGTTACAAGTTAGCCATCTTGCTTCTTTCTTATCTCATGTGACAGTTACACATCTGCAGTACAGATCTAGCAGGTACTACGAAAGGTCTATCAACACTATGGTATCAGTACGTATTTGTTGATGTTTTACAAAGGGTTTAACGTGAGCCATACAACTCTGGAAGCAATCATCTCATCCATACAGCGTTAGAAATCTTTTTTAATGCAAAAGTACGTCACGTTTTTAGTTTTGTATGTCTAGGTTTGGGTTTATTTTGCTGTTCGGTTCTCCCTGTCTCCCTTGTGTATTGTCTGGTCCCTCTCTCTGTGTTTTTCCTCCTGTCGTTAGTTTCCCTGGTGTGTCTAGTTGTCTGATTGTGTTCACCTGTTGCCCTTGTGTTTCTCCTCCCCTGCCCGGCTGTTTCTCGTCTCGTGATTACCCTTCCCTGTATTTAGTCTTGTCTCTTCCTGTGTTCAGTGTTGGTTCGTCTTTTGTTGGTGACTGAGTTCACCGGTGAGTGTTCTGTTTTGTCCAAGTTATTATTATTATCCTTGAAATAAAGGTTAATCAGAGTTATCTGCATTTTGGTCCTGCTTCCTTCACTCAACCGTAACACAGGTATTGGATCTGAACTAAGTATCGGCCAACAGGCAAGTGGTATCGCATAGGACAAATGGTACGTCTCAATTTCATTGGGTTTACTGACTAAATCTTATTTGAACCCTCTCCAAGGTAGACACGATCCCCTCAAAATTCACCCCAACATTGAGGCCACTCGTGAGCTAAGACGACTTTCATGGATGGTTTTTAAGATCTGGAGATTGAGAAAAAGATCCAGACAGGACGTTTGTAAGTCTTGCGTCTTGTTTCCTGGCTATTTGCTTCTCTAATTCCTTCTCTGTGTCTCTCCCCCTCTTTTGCAGTCTGCTCAGATCCCTGTGGTATGAACACATTTCTCATTCCCTCTCCCTCAGCCTCTCAAGATTGCTGCTTTATTAAACAGACTCTCCCTATCTTTCATTTGCCACTCTCCCCACCGTGCTCTCAGACGCGGTGTTTTTTATTTATTCTCTCTTTTACCCCCTTCCTCAACACGCTACCTTTGCATACATCAATGATTCAAAGATTCAAAAGCTTTATTAGTCATACGCGCAGCAGCTACAGTGTAGATATGGCAATGAAAATCTGAAGTCCCAGGCTCCTCAAACAATGCAACGTAATATATAAGAGCTAAAACAAAAAAACTAATTTAAAAAACAATAAAATAGTGCAAGACCAATGTGCACGTAATGCAGATGAAGTACAACAATACAAAAAACAATAAGTTAAAGAATGTTGTAAGTGAACAAGGAGTCTATAAACATGTAATTAGATGCATTATTTTTGCATTGCTCAGCAGGCTGTTCTGTACAGCGTCTACCTCTCAGCTCCTGTCGCATTCCCTTCTGTACAGAAAGATAGAGAAAGAAAGGGTCCTAATTTCTCTTTTCTATACGTTCTCCCTTCGCCCGACCTCATATCTCTCTTTGTTCGAATTGCTGCCTCCATCTTTCTCTCTCTCTCCAGTGCTCCTCCATCTCTTTCAGACCCAGGGCAGCTATATTTAGCGGCAGGTTAACTGCTCCTGTCAAAGGTCTGATTTGTATTCTCTGCATGCAAGTCTGACTCGGGCCTCGCAGCAACACAAACAAAAGGCCCTATAGTTTGAATATGCACTGAGCCCACTGGCTTAGGAATCAAAGCCCTCTCTCTCTGCCCTGCTGCCAGTGGGGCCACCTGCTATGGGAAGGGGAGGGTGGGGAAAGAGGTGGTGGTGGAGGGGGGATTTGGGTTCGTGGGGACTCAAAGTCAAGCTCAATTCACTCCAAACGCACACATTCATTCAGGGAGGAGCACCGCGGCTCAATGGGCCTACTTCACCGTGTTGCACCACACTCTCTGAAAGGGAAATGTTCGAGAAAGAGAAGAGAATGAGGAAAGGGGGTCGTGCCCCTGTACCTTCAAATCTAGTCGACACGAATATGTGATGGCAGGGGGGGGAGGGACAGGACAAGAAAATAGAAAAAAGGAGCCCTCGCACAGGAGAC